TGTGTGTCTGTGTGTCTGTGTGTCTGTGTGTCTGTGTGTCCGTGTGTAAACACGATAACTTGAGTACCGTTACAGCTAGGTTGATGAAATTTCATATATAAGTATTTAATCAAAATCGTAGATCCGTATCAACTTTTGAGCGATTTCCGATAACCGGAAGTGGTACTTTTCCTACTTTGAATTTTTCAAAAGCCTATAACTTGAGTACTATTTCAGATAGATAAATGAAATTTCATACGTAATAAGTAAAAGATCTAATTCTCTACCTTCTATTAAATTTTGAGTCATTTCCGTTGACTGGAAGTAGTACTTTACGCTACTTCCGATTTCTCAAAAAACTAATGTAAATTTTAAAAGTAATAATAATATTGCGCACTATTATGCGCTTTTTTATTTGGCGTTCACTTGGTGTGCAATTAATTTGTCTACGAGATTTTATTCTATTTTTAAAACTTTAAGTATTTAAAATGGATTAAAAATCATGTCTATAGCCCGAGTTCCCATCCCCTGTTATTTTATATAAGAATATTCGAGAAAGTTTAGGGGAGATCACTCCCGGTTTATTTTTTTTAGTGTTAGAAACACGTTTATCGTAAAAAGTGATATGTTTGTAAAAATGTGATAGTAAAGTTTTGTCTCATGTCAGATCATGCTGTCTATGGAACAGAGGAGTTAGAGTTGACCTGTTTCTATCCTGATCCCATTAGAAGAGGGTAGTTGGTAGTTGGTGAAATTCTTGCTTGCTGCAGTCCATCACCAACACACTAACACACACTAACGCAGACTAACACACACACACACACTAACACACATACACACACACTAACACACACACTAACACACACAAATGCAGACTAACACACACTAACACACACAAATGCAGACTAACACACACTAACACACATACACACACACTAACACACACACTAAAACAAACATAGACACACTTACACACACACAAACACATGCACAAACACACACTGACACACACACACACACACTAACACACACACTAACACACAAACGCAGACTAACACACAGAATAACACACGCACACTGATACACAGACACACTAACACACACACTAACACACACACTAAAACACACACAAACACAGACTAACACACACACTAGCACACGCACAAACACACACACTGACACACACACACACATTAACACACACACTAACACACGAACGCAGACTAACACACACACTAACACGCACAAACACAGACACTGGCACACACACACACTAACACACAAACGCAGACTAACACACCGAATAACATACGCACACTGATACATAGACACACTAACACACACACTTACACATACACTAACACATACACACTAACACACAAACTAACACACACAAACTAACACGCACTAACACACACACTAAGACACACACTAACACACACATACTAACCTTCACATACAAACTCATACACACAAGTACAATTTTGCCAACTCTATGTTTATACCGAACTCTTGTACATCTGTTTTCGTATTGTAGTGTCAACATTTGACCTACCACTCCAATGTTAAACCGACACACCAATTGGTATGTGTCCACCCACACACTCAAGTGACCACTCACCAGTTCCGTGCCATGAGATCATCGGCCCTTGTAACATGAGATGTGAACTATTTATACTCAACCCCTACCCCCTCTCTCCTTTCCCGCGTTTTATTTATATTAAAAAAAAACGCTTTAGCTGCAAATTTCGCAGATATCCAAGTTCAAGGACGAATTAAGGGTTTCTGTTAACTGCCCAATCTCGCCTTGGTTGTTTATGTATATCTGTGAACAGGATATAAGATAGTGGAAACTCGGAGTTATTTCCCCTTCCACGTTACACAACTTCCGGTAACACTTAAATATCTGGCTGTGAGCGTCCTATTAAATAATTAAAGGTACGCTACTTTGACAGATTCAATGGAAAAAATAAATTAATTTTTTTTTAAAAGAAAAATGTCATTTACGCCAATTAAAATGATCACCAAGCATTCATTAATGTTAAAGGACTGAAATCGTTAAAACGTGTATCATTATGTTAAGTTTTATACTTTGACCTAAAAATAGGAGTAGGTAATTAGATGGTTTAGGAAGAAGAAAGTAACTAAATAGAAGGAAATCGTTCAGGAGTTCTCTTCGCTTGCAAGTTTTAATATCCATATATAATGTATATATATGTATATATATATATATATATATATATATATATATATATATATATATATATATATATATATATATATATATATATGTGTGTATATATATATATACATTCTCTAGCACTAAGAAAACGGATTTGTGTAGACAGCAGTGCTAAAATACACAAATGTCAACACGCACTCGAGCGCTGCTATATTTAGCTCACACTTGACGTGTAGCAAGAGGCGCTAACATTGAGAGCTTTGTTTGCACGTGGTAAAGAGCAGAGCTCAATTACTGTCTCATTATCTGTCCCATTATCTGTCTCGTTATCTGTCTTTATTACAAGGAACAGGATTTGGAAGTGGACGGATAATAAAATTCCAGACATCTGTAAAACATGGCGTAAGCAGCATTTGCCTAACATTCATTGAGTCATGTATGTATATATATATATATATATATATATATATATATATATATATATATATATATATATATATATATATATATATATATATATATATATATATATATATGCACCTGGCTTTATTTCAAGAACAGCAATGGTTTGATGAGAAGAGAATCTGGAGAGAAAGTGGACGAAGCTAAGAATATTCAAGTGAAAACACATCATTCGTCAGTGGGAAAGGGGATAGAGGTGCTAGTCATGATGATTCTAATGTTAAAAAAAAGTTTCCATGTAACACGTTTAAATTATAAAAAATATATTTTAATTCTCAAAAACAATAAATTGTGCAGCGAACCATAGTCAAATATCAAATATTTTTTCTATTCACAATGTTTCTATATACATTATTTTATATCTTTCAAAGAGTAGCTAGTGATCTTTCACATCAACAAACAGGTGCAGAAACAATTTTCACAAGCCCATGAATAGAACCGGCTTTTAGAGTCATAGAATAAACTCAATGGCGATGATACACGCCTCTGAGCTGGAAATTCTAACTTATATTGTTTAATTAAATAGTGCTGCCTGGGGTGGACACCCCCTCTCACCCCCATCAGCTGCGCCTTTGTCTATACTCATGCTATTTAAAGTTGAACGTCTAACATTCCATTGCAAACGAGGCCAAGAATAGTTTGAGGTTGAACACGTATCTACGACAATGACAGGTGTGTTTCATGTGATGAGCAGTGGCGTAGCTAGGTGGTGTGTTTTTGGGGAAGGGGGGGGGGCAGCCCTTTTTTTAAATTCTCGAATTTGATAATGGGATTTGTTTGTCTATTTCCACAAGCGAACATAGTTAACGGTTAGGTTTGTAATCATAGCGATCGTGTACTTATTTTTCCTCTTCCAATTTGATGGATTGGTTTCGAAGACAAAAACCTTAGCTCGATCTTAATTTGGACGTCTGTTCTACCGTTCGACCAACTTGTACCACTTTCTTAAAGCAGGTGGTACACTATGCTTCCTGTTGTGAGTACATTAAGTATGTCTCCGCCTCCTCAACACATAAACACGCGCCATATAGGCCTAGAATACCTGAGTTAAAACGAATCAGCATAAAACAAAAACAAAAAACTGTTACTTATCAGATCATATATCAGATCACATCATGTTGTATCTTCCCTTAGACCAAAAAAACAATGGAAGTTTTTTGTTTTGTTTTTGAGACAGTAGAAACGAAAGCAGCAACATTGTCAATGTAGTTATGAGATCTGAGATAATATGCATCAACATGGAGCAATAGTAGCAATGAAATGTAAAAAAGGTTTTAAAAATTGTTTGTAAAAAAAACTATATTTATAATATAAAATAAACCTTTTGGACAAAGTATAACAAAATAAACATCCCATATTCATCCCCCTTTTCTCTCTCTTTATATTTTCTTATATATCTTTCTTTCTATCTTTCTAATATAAGGATCGTAATCACCGTTGCAAAACATCAATATTTTAACACCTTGCGCAGATAACTCAACAAATATCGTCAGAAGCAAATTAACCTAATTATATCACAGCATTAAAAACGGCCATCCCCACTAATTAACATAATCATAATCACGTGGCTTCCGTATCTCTTAAACTCGTTGCCGCTCCATCGTTAAACTGGCCAGGTTTTTGAAATATAATTTACTCATGACAAATGTCTTGTCACTTTTATCCCCAGGCAACCTGGCAACTTGAGAATAGCCCAGTTTTTTAAACACCCTCACCAGAGCCTCGTTTTCCTCAAACGTATCCACATACACCCCAACAAATCCGTTTCTCACGGCCTGAATTTCCGACAACCGGATGCAGTATTCCGTTATGGGTATTCCGAACCCCCGGAATTCCGGCTCCACTACGATGATAAGGTCCGCCGTCTTCACGCCCCGGTAAAACCGGCTCCGTTTTAAGATGACGGACGCCATGTTTTTTCTGTCCGACTTCTGGGCTATGATGTAGTTGTAGTGCTCTCTCAAGTCTTTGGTGAAGGTGTCTTGTGAGTCGAACACGTCAAAGCCAACACCTGCAACAAGAATAAAAGACATTTGTCAAGGTGTCTTGTGAGCTATGTTCCCTCTTAGCGGTAGTAGTGGTTGGTAAAAGGTCCAAGGCTCAGATAGTAAATCTTTTATTATAAAAGTGAAACAGTTGCTCGAAATGACACAGGTGCTTAATGTGAAGTGCTGGAAATGACACAGGTTCTCAAAGTGAAACCGATGCTCAATGTGACACAGGTACTTTAAGTGGCACAAGTGCTAATTGAGACACGAGTGCTTAAAGTAAGAAAAAATTTAATATGACACAGGTAAAATACGACTCACGCGAGAAAAGGTTTGACTTGGGGGGGGGGGGGGGGGGTGAATAGAGCAAGAATTTAAAATACCTTCATCACATGTGACTCGCTGCATCAGTGCGTAGATAGGGGTCAACTGGGCGTCGTTGACCTGCTGAACTATGACCTCTGTGGTTAGACCGATGGTACTCATACACGTACTAGCCACGCTGAAAAAAAAACAGCAACAACAACATATTAAAGACAACGATAAATATTGAAGGCAACCAATTATTATGACCTAAGTAGAGTTGGGGATGGGGCTGATAGGAGTCACTGTCTGGAAAATATCCCTACACCCAATGTAACAATTAAACCAACAGGTCTATTTATGTTTGTTATAGATATCAAACAAATATAATTGTACGTCTAAAAGAAGGTGGTCCTTGCATGCTGCCTCGTCAGCCCCCTTCTTAATCCGCCACTGGTACTAATGTAATTTTTTACATTTCTATGTACTTTCTGGTGTATGTGTGCTACTATGTTTGGTATGTGGGTATGTGTGTGGATGCAGGTAGTTCAATGCGCAACCTTCATTTCAACTTGAGGGCACGTTTCCTTTTCGGACAATTGGTAAACAATTCCAGCATATTTCATCGGTCAAGGCTGAGCCTGGGGACACTAATAAGTATCGCGAAGTCTCATCAATGCTTGGGATGTTGGGACGGAGAATGGGTCGGTCTTAAACAACCACCTATATGTTTAACAACATAAGGGCTCTAGGGGGTTGCGTAGCGGCCCTGAAGATATGCATACACACAAACGTGTACATGTACGCGTACGTGTACGTTTACATACACATGTGTGTTTGCATGTTCATTGCGCCTGTGTATATGATAATATGTAGATTATATAGCTCGAACACCCACATATATATATATATATATATATATATATATATATATATATATATATATATATATATATATATATATATATATATATATATATATATATATATGTATATATATATATATCTTTAAGTATGAAGTAGGGCAAATGTAGAGAGTTCTCCCAGCTAATACACACACGGAAGCTTCTTTTCTGCGTGTGAATACTTTGTCGTTTGGTTGGTTTTTACTTTCTCGGATTTACGAAGTACAGAGAGCCTTAAAACCGTGCAAAAAAAAATTGAGATGTTTGCAAATCTCGACGTTTTACACCTCCCTGAGTCGAAAAAACATAGTTTAGCAATCTTGTCCGTATGTCTGTGTGTGTGTATGTGTGTCTGTATGTGTGTGTTTTGTTTTGCGTTCACTTTTTTCTACGAGATTCTATTCCATTTTAAAAAGTTTAAGTAATTAAAAATGGATTTAAAATCGTGTCTATATCCCGAGTTGCCATCCCCTGTTGTTTCATATCAGAATATTCGAGAAAGTTTAGGGGAGATCACTCCTGGTTAATTTTACCTTTAATTTAATCTCATTGCGGGACTACAAAATCCGCGCTAATTGCTAAACGACACGTAGCCTTGACCAACAAGTTTCGTCTGCTATGGGTTAACTTGACATCCGAAGATTTTTAAATGACTGGTAAGAAAACGAGGCGCTTAGAATCACAACAGGCTATAAGATTTCAGACGGCTCGTAAACAGACCCATAAAAACGGATTTTAATTAATTGGGTGAAAGGTTGTTTAAGTAGGTCAAGGTAGCGTCTGTAAACAAACAAGAGTTCCTTGTTGGCTGGGCCAGTTTCTAATGTTCTCACATAAAATTTACCTCCACGATGACAGGTATACTGTCTAGAACGTTCTAATTAGTGTTATAATTTTCCGACTGCTAATTAGCATTAGAAGTAAATCTTTGTTATGAGGGTGACCTTTGCGTTGAAGAGATGAGCTTAAGTTTTCAAACTTTAGCTCTGTGACCTTTCGTGTATGACCTTGAGTGTGTTACTTTTAGTGTATGATTTTAAATGTATGAGATTAAAAAAAAAAAAAATTAAGATTCCTCTTTAGATCTAGCGAGTCATTGAGCAGATGAAGTAGAGTTCATGTTTCTTGACTTCCGGCTCATGAAGGGATAATGTGGTCAGCACTATGCCCTGCCGCCTTTACTTTTCCTAACGTGAGTTGGGTACCCATCAGAGCTGCGTGGACTCATGGACTTTCCACTGACGAACCCGGATTTGAACTCGAGACTTACGGGATAGAAGTCCAGCGCTCTACCGCTAGGTCACGCCGTCCCAAATGACCTCACGTGTATGACCTTTAGTCTAAGACTCTCATGTATGATCACTAGGATCTAAGTTTATAAATTGTAGTCTATACCTAAGTTGTATGACCTTTAGTGTATAGCATTAAGTGTATGACTCTAAACTATGACCTTATATTGAATGACATAATATGTAAGACCTCTAGTGTAAAACCTCTTAAGCGTGTGGCATATAGTGCATGACCTAACCCAGCGATCGCCAAAGTGACCTTTCGACCTAAGCCTATGACATTAATTATTTGAACTAATCAACTGCTGACGTCAACTTGCTAAAATGTAGCGATGTAAACATTGACCAGCCCCCCCCCCCTCTCCCCACTTTCTGAGAGTGTGAGAAAAAGTTGATCGAAGGGTCCAGAAGTACTCTCTACTGACCTACATAAACCTATACATTAGCCCCGCCCCTTTTCATTACCCGTCGACCAACGCGGAGAGCAAAAACAAGGTCAACCGATAACCTTGACCTTTGAGCTGTGTTGTCAAGCAAAACGAATACCGCTGGCACAAAAGAGCAAGCTCGACCTTGAACTTCAATCACGGTCTTATTCGAGAAGATTCTGTATCCGGTTTATTAGGCAATGTTGAAATGTTATTAGGCAATGTTGTAATGGTGTAATCAAGGAGGATTTGTTGTCATGTCTGTGTCAGGTTGACTTAGGGTACGTCAAACCAGTGGCGTAGCGAGGTCGGGTGATACTTAGTGACCCTTCCCGGGGACAAACTTTCAAAATTTTTATTTGCACCCCCCCCCCCTCAAACTTTTGATTTGCACCCCCCCCCCTCAAATTTTTCTCTATATATTTAGCTGTTTTTTGCCTTGGTGTCACCCCCTTAAAAGGTGTCACCCGGTGCGGTCCGCAGCCCCCCCCCCCTCGCTACGCCCCTGCGTCAAACCCAATTGACGCTGCCTAGGTCAGCATACAAGCTGGATACGAGAGTTTAGTACAGTTTCGTCTTGTCATGAAGTTGCTGGACAGTGTGGAAGCTAATAGGGCTGGTAAGTAGGTCAACAATCAGTTCTATGGCTCATGCAGGTTTTAATGAGCCGTAGAACTGGTTGGTGACCTAATTACCAGCCCTATTGCAACTTCTAAGTTGCCGTGTTAAAAGTTAGTTTGTTGCAACTTTTAAACACCATATTGCACGGATTCCAATGTCTCTTCCATACTTTTTTCTCCGGGGGGGGGGGGGGGAACTTGAAATTTTCGGGAGGGGGGAGGGTGCGGAATAAAATTTCCGGGGGGCGGACACTGTTAAAAGTATATATTTCCCACATAAATTCCGTTTATTTCGGGGGGGGGGGGCGGTAGACTTTCTTCGGTGGGAGTGGGGCTCCGCACACCCCTAAGAGATACCTGAAAGAAACTGACAGATTCCCAATCTACAGGTCGCGATCCCCATAGGGGTTGCAAAGGTTTTTTATTTTGGGTGGTCGCCGAGTTGTAGACCAAACTGAACAAAACTATTTTTCTTTAAATTGTGTACGGGTCGCGGGTGCTTGGCTTTTATAAAACGGGGTCGCCACTCGAAAACGTTTGGGAACCTGCGCACTAGTGACTACTCAGGTCGCAAACAACTTTGAAAGAAATTGTGTAACCTCTGTAAATTCTCATCTAACTACAACCACGATACCCAGACGTCATGGTTTCCCTGATATGTCAGGTACCCATTAAAGCTGAGTGAACTCAGTGTCGTCCTACAGACTTGAGCCCGGTATCCGAACTCTAGACGTTCTGGTGAATAGTCGATAGCCCTACCATCCGACCACGCTGTACCCTAGCCTACAAAATATCTTATGCAAATTGTCTAAAAACGTATGACGTAAAAAGCTTGGTAACATGCAACAATGAACATAATTGAAAATTTTATTTGGACTCTTGTGAAATTTTAACTTAATTGTCTTCTTTTTATGCAGTTTTCTTTTCCCAAGCTTTTTTTAGTTCGCATAGTCTGTTTGTTTGCTTTTTTGTTTGTTTGTTTGTGGGTTGTTACAAATCTTGAAACTCAATTTTGACCCACTTCTAATACAGCGATTTCGTTCAATCTCCCCAGATACTCAGGTGCCGGCGCTACCCATAAGACGAACTAGGCGATCGCCTAGGGCGCCATCCCTAGGAGGGCGCAAAATGTTTAATCGCCATTATCAAAAAGTACCTAATAGTTAATAACTTTTATAAAGGAGTAGCGATCTATTACGCACCCAGGACGAACTATCAATTTTGCACCCCCATCCCAAAATTAGGTCTATGTAGGCCTATTTTTATTTGCGATGGTGAAAATGCAACCCCACATCCCTAATTTGGAAAGGTCGGGGCGCTTTTTATCAGTCACTTTGCCTTTTTAATTTGGTGTCACATAATTGATGTAGAAAACGATTAAATAAGTTCGCTATTTAAATTTCGAACATTTCAAACGGTTATTTAAGTCTCGTTTTCTCTGACTTTGAATTAGAAATAAGTCTGGTGTACATAGTTATGTAATGTCGCGGTGTCCAAAGTATTGTCACTTGTTTGGTAAGTTTTGATGAATCGTTTAGATTTGGGAGTAACGGCGGAAGGCTGTTGCTGATATGGTTTCGTAGGTATAAAGTATCGAAGTGTTAAAGTGTTATAATTTTTATTCGGCTGTTGTGTAGTTAAAAATCTAGTGGAATCTGATAGGTAATAGAGAAATGAAAATGCAGGTGATGAAGTATCGTAGTTCTGGAGTTCGGGAGTATTGATTCTTGTGTTATTAAGGTATCGAATTATACTGACTGTTAAGGTGTAGTAGTAAGTCCAGTGAAATCGTTGTTGATTGGGATTACCGTTTGTAGAGCTTGGTGAAGTTAAACGAGTTGGTGTCGAAGTTCTGGAGTATCGAGTCTAGTTATGTTTAGGTATCGAAGTTTGATATGTGTAGTAAATGTAGTAGAGCATATCTAGTAGTCGAGTTTATCGTAAATTAGATGATTTT